CATGCGCTCACTAGAAAGAGAGAAACAGAGACAGAAAGCACGAAATCAGCCCCCCCCCAGGGGGGGATGGCCACGCCACAATCCCTTCTCCTTCATTCTCCTCTTGGGATCTTGGGCACGCACGTACACGCACCCAGCGTGAGTTTAAGCCACCAGGTCTAAGACTCGAACCGCAGTTGACTACATGGAAGTTCAGCAACATAGCCATTACGCCAACTGCTGGACCCTTGTCTTGATTTTTTTTAAGCCACCTGGTCCAGGACTTGAACTATGGTCAGCCATATGGAAGTCCAGTGCCTTAACTGCCATGCCATCTGCAGGCCCCTAAAAAAAGTCTTTTTTTTTTTAATTGTCAGAGCATGTGCATATACACATGAGGGAGAGAAAAAGAGACAAAATAACCCTGTAGAGTGTTGTAACATCTCAATTATTTTCCCTCCATTTTTTCATCCTGTTAGGATTTTGGGCATGCATATATATGTACCTGGTCATGTTTTTCAAGCTCCTAGAGCCAGGACTTAAATTGTGGTTGGCCATGTTGGATCTGGCTTTCTATGCATAGTGCTTAACTATTGTGCTGCATGGCCACCTCCTAATATGATAATTATTATAATATAATACTATCTCATTCTCAAGAGGTTTGGCTTCAAATTTTGGGTCATATCAGCTGTTTGTTATAGCAATGTCGGCTGTATCTTTTCTCCACTTTGTTAATATTCTGTATTTATGAGTATAATAGAACTTACCACCTCAGTTTGTAATCGCCTATTTACTTATTTTCCTCCCCTACTAGACTGTGAATTACTTGAGAAAAGAGATGGGATAGCAGTTGGCTTGCTGCCTTATTTATAGAGGAATAAGAAGGAAGTTGAATGAGTTGAACTCCCCAGTGAACTTAATATTCATTAGGTATTTGTGTAACTAATAATAGCTAATTCCTGACACATTATTCCTAATAGATTCCGCTGATCTCCATGGGAAGTCTGATGTGTTTTAATGAAGTACAGTTTTAGAAATGACTAATGCAGTTCAATAGAAAAAGAAGTACTCTTAGTGCTGGAAGAACCCCTAAAATTCATGTAGTATACCTCTCCTATTTTCTAGATGAGAAAGCAGGGGTTCAAGAGAGTTTGTACTTTCACTAAGGTTATACTGCTAATTGGTGGCAGAGTTATTTTTTGTTCATTTGTGTTTTTTTTTTTTTACTTATAAGCTAGGAAAAGAGCATAGAGCAATACATAATCAAAATAAGGTCAAAAGTATTGTCATTTAAGGGAATTCTTAACTTCTAAGATTTCTTTTGTAATAGAGTTTAACATAGGAATGTTATACCTAGAAAATGTAAAATTGTATACATTATACCATTTACTAAGAAGTGCTTGGGAAACAAAAGAGTGTAAAACTTTAACTTTTCAAGAAGAGCAGTTTAGTGGTGAGAATGCACTCCAAATTGTGTGCATAGGTTCCCAAGGAGACTAAGAGAGAGGGAGAAATGATAACTTTTTGTATTATTTGGTATTTGTTAATTTATTATGATACATTTGTCACAGGTTTAAATTAAAAGAGATATTCTATAGAAATTTGTTCTTAAAAAAAAAAAAAGAAAAATCATGAGAGATACCACGGAACAAAGCACACAGGAAAGTAAGAGACAGATCTGTTCTTAGGGGAGACCAAATTTTACATTTGAAAAATAAATCTTTTATTCTTGCTAAGCAAGAATTTAAGGCAGTAGGAAAAGAGATAGTACAGTGATTTCATGAGTAACTATTAAATTGTCAGAAAAGTCATGAAGCATTTTTGCATAGAAAAAAATATGTCATGACTTTCCTAATGACCAAACACAATTTAATTTTTATAGCACTTATTATAGGACTTCATAGGAAAGAGATAATAGTATATAATATATGAAAATTACAAATATTAGGGTATATTTGTTCCTGTTGTAGATTATCTTTTGTTTACAGTACAGTAATATGTTTGACAAATTATTCTCAGAGCTCATCAACTTTGTCTTTGATTTTTATTTGATCATATTCGGTTGCCAAAAGGGAGCTTTAAGGAAGACATCCAAAAACACTCACAGGAAGTACGTACTTACTGTGTACTAAGTTCGTATTTAGTTAGAACCGATTGTTATCATGTTCATGTAAGAAAAGGCCGTGCCACTCTGAAAGTCAGCTTTTGGAAAACAAAGATCAGAATGAGTGTTAACTTAATTATTGTAATACTTATCACTATTTAGAAATTAAAAAAAATCTTACATTTACATTAGTTACATTTTTCATGTCTTCTATAAAATACTCCATAGCATATCCTAAATTTTGGGAAGCCACAGTAAGAACACTCTAATGAGTATAGATATGCACTGTTGGGGGACACTGTGGGCAGGTTACATTACCTTTTGAGTTATAAGACCTACCTAATAGCAGTATGAATCTGGGTAAATTGCTTAGTTTCTCTAGACTTGACTTGACTTATCAACAAAATGGAGTTAATAATGGCTTAACAAATAGAAAAGTTCAGATTTAGCTGAATTTGTAAAGGGTGAAAATCTTTTACAAATAAGGTGATAGTGTCAATAGAATTTCTAAAGCTTCTCTAGAATCAAGCACAAATAGTTAGTAGTATATTAATAATACGTTGGTTTGTATCTTCCCTAATAAAGTAGCCCATTTATTAATGAAATTTATATAACCTTTTTTTTTTTTTTTGGAGAGGTTTTTGGTACACGGTGTGTGTACTTGCCAGAAAGACAGAAAGAGACAGACAGAAAGCGAGAAATCACCCCCTGGGGGGATGGCCACACCGCAATCCCTTCTCCTCCATTCTCCTCTCGGGATCTTGGGCACGCATGTACACATGCCCAGCATGAGTTTAAACCACCAGGTCCAGGACTTGAACTGCGTTTGACTACATGGGAGTTCAGCGACATAGCCATTACGCTAACTGCTGGTCCCAATAACCTTTTTTATAAACTGAGAATTTAGTGTTAACATGCTAATTTCTGAATATGACTGTTGAGGGCCAGGGTAGTAGTTTTTTCTGTGTATCTGGTTTGATATAAGAGAGAGCAGTGTGTCATGTTCTTATTTTTAAAAGCCTCCTTTTTAATTTAACTGGGCTAATTGATTCTGAGCTTTATGTATGGAATAACTCTAAGGCAAATGAAATATCTCCTTAAAAATAATTGATATCTCACTATATTTTCTTTCAATCAACAATTTGTGACCATTTTTATGACCATTTCTGATCACTGGTAACCTTGTATTAATATAGGCAAAATAGTACAGGTGGGTTGGGGTGAGGTTGAGGATGCATGGGTGTTCCTGGGTTGTTTTCTTCTCCTACCCTGTTCTGCTTCCGGTACTTGGGGGAGGATGGCCGGGTTGAGTCATCCCTAGAGAGTGGTAAGAGCAGAAGCAGCAGAGAATCCAGACCCCTGACGGTGGTACCATGAAGTACCCTTTCTCCAAGTTGGGGGCTCAGAAGGGAGCCATCATGAGCAATGATACCATTGTGAGAGAAGGTTGGATTCAGAAGAGGGAGCCCTCTTTGGTAGAGTCCACAGGTAGAAAGGTAGCACAGAATTTATAAGATGACAGGTGGGTGGTTATGCGAATGTCACAGAGGCAGAGGAATAAGAAGGAGCCAGTGTGAGAAGAATTAATATAGGATCTTGAGTGATGCATTTATTTATTTATTTAGGTAACATTTTATTGACTTTTGCATGTATCAAGTTCTGCTTGGAAGATTGTCAGTCAAAACAGGGTTCTGGTCTTTATAGAATAAAGTTTTTTAATCTCAGCACTTTTAAATCAGGTAATTCTTCTTTGTGGTGGGAGGCCATCCTGCGCATTGTAAAATGTTTAGCAGTGTCCCTGGTTTTTACTCACTAGATGAAGTTGCACTCCTTTTGCCTCCATCACCACCCCTTCTGTTGTGATAACTAAAATTGTCTCTTAATTGCTATATGCTCACTGAGGGCAGGGAGCAAAATTATTACTCCTGGTTGAGCACTAGTGCTCATGGTAAAATCAAATGCCAATACAGACCTTCAGCAGCTAACCATTAACATATACATATATAATAAAATTAGCAACTGTAATAAATGCTAATTATGCGAAATATAGAGAACCATGAGACTGTAGCTAGCAAGTGATGATTCCATTATGAATTTGGAACTCAGTCAAACAGGTCAGAGTTTTTATTGAGTACTTGTAACAGGTACCTGATACGAGAAAGAATACTTAAGACATGGTTTTGTACTTTGCAGACAGGCTGGCCGTTTGGGGAAGTTAAGGAAGTTAGGACATGATGGAAGAAGTTATGAAGGCCTTGAAATGGGTAGAAAAATAAAAAGGGTGCACTAGGTAAACATGTATTAAGAAAGAAAGTAGGAATTCTGCCAAAGGTCCATTTGCCCATTTCTCATATCTGCCTATGACCAGTTCTGTGTCTGGGAAGAAGAATGACAACTTTAATTACTTTTCCCCCACCTTTCTATCCCATGGGCCCTGACTAGGGGCTGCTTTAGTTTATACTAATACTGTTAGCTGAGTTAAATAGATCTTTGTGACTACATCCTCAAATTTAACAGCTATTTATTTATATAATTATTCTCTGGAACAAAGCATTCAGAACACCCAAAAGCTACTTGGAACTTAAAGAGTGTTGATTACTTATAAACCAAAGGACTATCTGTAAAGTATTTGAAAAATTTAAATGTATTTGAATTTGAGAAAGAGTAAAAAGTTGAAAATATGAAAAAATATTACATGTAAAATAAAGATCTGTGAATTTAGATAACTTATTTTATATGATTTTATTATGTATTTTCATGAATTTTTACTTGTGGTGTTTCTAGGAAAAAAACATGAAAGTGATATGTAAGTGAAGAGCTCGGATTGTATAGTTATTATAAGAAAGGCTTTTTGCTCTGGGCTTCTGTATATTCTTGATATCTTATTTCTCCTTTTTTTCCCCCCCAATATTTTCAGATGTTTTGGAATGTTATTAAGCCCAGGTCGAAACGTGAAGAACAGTGACATGCATTTACTGGATATGGTAATGATAATCTTAAGCACCTTACCCAAGTATAGATATAGATGATAGTTAATTTATATTTTTAAAGTATTTTCCATTTTAAAATTCTGTTACATTTTCAGAATTGTTCCTTTCAGTTGTATGATAGTAATAAATAAGTTGGGGAACCCAAACTTAAAATTACTTGTAAGAGAGAGATTTAGAAAAATTTTTACCAAAGCAATCATATGCAAGTTGAAAACAAAAGGATAGTGTTTTGACAATGTTCATCTATTCATCTTAGGAAGATGTCTTTTCTTTGAGCCCAAAATAAAAAGTACATGATTATAATAAGCATTTCCAGAGTGAATCTGGTACCTTTCATTTTAGTGCACTGTTATTAATTTGAGTACTGTGATGATACTTTTGTTTTCTTTAAAGCATTTCCTTTTCTGAGTTTCCCCTTGATTAACCTTAACAAAGTATATTTACTGTGGAAATGGTGTTTTTTTTAAAGGTTAGTGTATATTTTTAAAGATTGGTATATCAGTATATATATTAAAGAATCGATACTTGGTGTAAAAATAGCAAGCCATTTTAAACAGAAATACTTTCTAACATTGAGGTTAATGAAAACATTGACTTTGTGATTTAGAAATGTTATAGGATATAGTCATCTTACTTTTAAGTATAAAGTTATTTACTTAGTGAACTGAGATTTTTATATTTAGTGATTAGAAGCACTACATGTTTTCTTCCTTTCAGCTGTGTTTTGCAAATGTCAGTTAAATATCACTAATTATGTCAGCTTTTTCTTTGAATTATTTTATGGTAATAGCAACATTGATTTCCAGCAGTACTGGAATAGCTCATTCAGGCTTTGGGGCACCTATTTGTGTGCCAAGACTTGTGTGAAGTGCTGAGGTTATCAATATAGGTAAAATATAGTTTTTAACATCTATGGGTTTATAATCTTGTGATGGAAATAGATATACAGTAGTAGGCTAGGGACTCTCTCTGGTGGTACAGTGAAATATAGAGGAGGGACCAGCAGATGGCATAATAGTTACATTGCTGGACTCCCACGTAATTGACTGTGGTTTGAGTCCTGGACTCGGAGGCTTAAAGCTCACACCAGACATGTATGCGTGTGTGTACAAGATCCTGAGAGAATGGAGGAGAAGGGATTGTGGTGTGGCCATCCCACACTGGGGGTGGTTTCTCGCTTTCTGTCTGTCTGTCTCTCAGGCAAATGCACATGCCCTATAGCAAAAATCTCTCAAAAAAAAACCCCAAAAACAAAAAGAAATATAGAGGAAACAGTGGCTGGATAGGTCAGGTAAGGACAACCAGTTACATTAAATGTGAAAACATAAATTAGCTATTGATCCATCTCTCTTCCATCTCTCTCTAGAATATATCAGTGATGAAGGTGGTTTTACTAAGGCAAACCATAACATTTTAGAGCTTTGAAAATTCTATAAGGAGGCAGTTTGGGAGCATTTAGGCATTAACACCTTAAGATTCTAAAAACAAAACAAAACAAAACAAAAAAAAAACCTTAAGATTCTAGATACTAACTAATCATGCTCTTTTGGAGTTTAAAATATTAAGATGATAACTAGTAGAGCTTTTTCTGTAAAGTTAAATTCAGATTACAGAATCATAGAAGTGGTGTGAACTTTTTTTTTTTGGAAAGGTTTTTTGCTATAGGGCACGTGTGCTTGTCAGAAAGACAGAGAGAGACAGAGAAACAGAAAGTGAGAAATCACCCCCCCAGCCCTGGGAGGATGGCCATACCGCAATCCCTTCTCCTCCATTCTCTCCGGATCTTGGGCATGCATGTTCACGTGCCTGGCATGAGTTTAAGCCACCGAGTCCAGGACTCGAACCGTGATTGACTACTTGGTAGTGCAGCAACATAGTCATTGCACCAACTGCTTGTCGCAAAGTGGTGTGAATGTCTGAGGCCCCTTCCATTTTATCTAACTTATAGAGTACACTTCTACCTGTGTTCATATTGAAATCAAAGGGCTTGTCAGTATTTATGCTTCTGGATAGAGAAGCTTATCTATAGAACAGATAGTTGGACAATTGGGAGGGTTCGTATTTGCAGTTATTAACCATTGTGACTTGTTATTACCCAGTGTTATTAATATTCATTGTCTCGTAATACGTGGTCATGGACCCTTGGCTAGTCTGCACCTAATAAAAAGGAAGTCAATACATTATATTGAAACCTCACTCTTGTTATTACAAAGTTATTTCTTTATAATAATCTGAAATCATAACTTTGCCTACTTAGTCTCTGTTTTGCCCTTTAAAGCAAGATGTTACTCTTGGGTTGTTGGAAAAGTTGTGATGCATTTTTGCATAGAAAAACAGGGAAAATATGTCATGATTTTTCTGACAACCCAATACTTCTTCTATGGTACTCCCAAATATCATGGAACATTAAAAACAAATTTCATCTTCTTACATTTTATTTATTTTAACTAACTTTGAAAAGTATATAATTATATTTAATTTAATAATTTGTGAGACTTTAATTTGTTTCAAATGATTTTTAAATAATACTTGCTTTTCTAGGAATGCTATCTAATAAGCTAAATTAATTGAAACTTTTCTAGATTAATAAATGTATAAATTTGGCTTACTAAATTAAGGGCCAGCCCCATGGCCTGGTGGTTTAGGGAGCTGGATCCTACATGGCCAACTAAGGTTTGAATCCTGACCCTCGCTCCTTTTTTTTTTTTTTTTTGAGAGGTTTTTGCTATAGGGCACGTGCGCTCGCCAGCCAGCCAGAGGGAGACAGAGAGACAGAAAGTGAGAAATCACCCCCCAGGGGGGATGGCCATGCCGCAATCCCTTCTCCTTCATTCTCCTCTTGGGATCTTGGGCACGCACGCACACGCGCCTGGCGTGAGTTCAAGCACCGGGTCCGGGACTCAAACCGCGGTCGACTACGTGGGAGTCCAGTGACATAGTCATTATGCTAACTGCTGGTCCCCCACCTTGGCTTCTTGAAAAATATGTCAGGCACATGTGTGTGCATATGCCCCAGATCCTTAAAGGATGGGGTAAAAAAGGGGATTGCTTTCTCACTCTCCTTGAAATATGTACACACACACACACACACACACATACATACACACACATAAGAGTTTCTTTTTTAGTCTGACCATACACACACACACACACATATATATGATCTTCATGAAAAAGAACGTTGTACTTATAAGTGAAAAATACTTCTTGGTTAAATAGCTTGATTACTTTTTTATATTAAGTATGTATATAAATGAAGTCACATGTAAACAGAATTATTTTTTGTGGAGTACAAGTAACAGAGACTTAGTTATCTTCCGATAATAAAAATATTATTGTTCAAGATGCTTACAGTGTAGGAATAAGGAAATGAGGATGTTTAATCCATGAATATTGATACCTAGGAATAGTGTCATAGTAAGATATCAGGAAAAGCAGAAAACTTGCTAGACCCTGGTTTCCTGGAACTGGAACACAATTTGAAATTTAAAATTAAAGTCCTAGAGATGTCTCAGAAAATTTATTTGCCATTTAATAAATAACCATTTAGTGACATTAGACCAGTGGCTAGACCCACAGTTAGAAATGCACTTTACATTTTAATCCTAAAAAGGCGAAGTTAAAATTTCCCAGAGCAGTCCTAATCCTTACATTTGTAATGGACTTTATTTTCTCTTCAACATGCTCTTTACCTGTACCTTTTATGCTTTTCCTTTCCTTCCTGCCTCTCAATGCCTACCTTTGTTTTTGTCTTATGTGATTTATAATTTTTCTTAAAGACTTAATTTTATTCATTCATTTATTTAAATCTGACCAGAGAGACACACATAGAGATTGAGAGAAAGAAAGAGAGAAAGTGAGAAACCAAGCCACCAGGTCCGGGACTCAAACTGTGGTTAGCCATGTGGGGAGTCTACAGCACCTTTAATGACCATGCTACCTGCTGGTCCCCAGTAAATTTTGTTTTAAGAGAGAGATTTTTGTTATGGGGCATGTGTGCTTACCAGAGAGACAGAAAGTGAGAAGTAATTTCCCCTGTTGGATGGCCACACTGGAACCCCTTCTTTTTTTTTTTTTTTTAGGTTTTTGCTATAGGACGCATGAGCTCACCAGAAAGACAGAGACAGACAGAAAGTGAGAAGTCACCCTCTGGGAGGATGGCCATGCTGCAATCCCTTCACCTCCTTTTTCCTCTCGAGATCTTGGGCATGCATGCACACGCGCCTGGCGTGAGTTTAAGCCACCGGGTCCGGGACTCGAACCACAATCGACTATGTGGGAGTCCAGCGACATAGCCATTACACTAACTGCTGATCCCTGGAGTTCCTTCTTCATTTTTCTCCCAGGCATGCATGCACACCTGGCTTGAGTTTTATGCAGCTGTTTCTGGGACTCAAACTGCGGTTGACTGTGGGAGTTCAGCGATGTAACCATTAACACCATCTGCTGATCCTCATGATTTGTAATATTTAAGGCTTTTTAAATTTGATTTTTCCATTTCTCTTATCACTTACCATTTTTCAAATATTCTGCTGTTCTTTATTTAATTTTCTTTCTATAATTAGTTATCTTATAACTTTGCTTTACATGTGGCTTATCATGGCTTTGATTTCTCATGAAAATCTTTTAGTTTCCCTTTCTAATTGACTCTTTCCTTGGTGTTTGTCAATTGAAAGAGGGATTTTGATTGGCTTAGCTAACCTTTTTAAATACATGCACAGCACAAGTTCTTTCTGATCCAGAACTGGATTGGTTTCTTTTGGATCAGAAGCTCATTCCTGTTTTAAATAGGGACCTTATTAGGAAGTAGATGCATATGTGTGTGTGTATGAGAGAAACAGAGACCCAAACCATAAATACATAAGTGTGTTGGAGGTGCTGAGAAGGTTTCCTGTGCAAATGGCCTTGAGTATACTTCTTTTTTTTTTTTTTTGAGAGGTTTTTTCGCTATAGGGCGCGTACGCTCGCCTGACAGACAGAGACATAGAGAAAGAAAGCGAGAAATCACCCCCCAGGGGGGATGGTCATGCCGCAATCCCCTCTCCTCCATTCTCCTCTCGGGACACCGGGCACGCACACACACGCGCCCGGCGCGAGTTCCAAGCCACCGTGTCCGGGACGCAAACCACGGTCGACTACGTGGGAATCCAGGGACATAGCCATTATGCTAACTGCTGGTTCCCGAGTATACTTCATTTTTGAAATGCAGGGTGCCTGCACTGAGCTGTACTATCTGATTAGTGAATTATTACTAATACATTAGAAACATACATAGTAATTATGCAAATGACTGGCACAATTTTAAAGAGATTCAGAGAAGCATCTATAATGGAGTTATAATGAAAAGGAAAAAAATTCTCCTTTAGTCTGATCATCTTAACATTTCTATTCATAATGAGGAATTTGGTACATAAAATTGATAGTGCTGTAGGTATAATTCTTTTATATAAGCTACACATATTTGTATGCATGTGTGCTGTTACCCCATGGGACAGTCTTTATCCTCCTCTCTCTACATACATATACAACTCATATATGGCCAAGCTGATATGCTAGCTTCTTTAGTGAGAGTTAAAGCTGACTTGGTAAAAGTCTTAAAGACTGGAGGAGATAAAGAGATAAGATATGGGGAAAAGGACTGACTATAAGTAAGGGTAGAGGGACAGATTTAATAACTTTGGGCATTGATTACAACAAAAACTAGTCTACTGATTTTGACATATGATTATAAGAAAGTATTTAAATATCTGACACAGATAATAGAAAAGTATTAACTTTAAAGATACTACTATAAAGTAAATTAACATTTTAGGAATATATTAAAAATTAGAACATTAGAAAATAATATTAACTTCCTCCATGTGATTAACATTTCAGTTTAACTGTCTTCAGTTAATTCTATATTATAGTTTCTGTTTGTTTACTTCTTCCATGAGTGAGACATACAGACACAGAGACAGAGAGAAAGCATTCTTAACAGGGTCTTGATGCTGTGACATATGCTCAGCCTCAGTTAGCTCTGGACCACATACATATGTAGCCTGGAGCACTCAGAACAGTCTCTGGGCACAAACCTGGAATCTTCCCATATGGGTCCGCCTTGTAGAGTGTTCTGTTTTATTCCTGTGCCACTATATGGCCCCTCTGTATTGTAGTTTAATAGAAGCTGTGTAAACCCTTACATGTGTAGGTATATGAAATTTTGACAGCCAGTGTAAGATCAAGTTAAGTACAGTGTCACAACAATGTTTTTGTCTTTTAGTGTATAAGGGTATGCATTATTTTTTCCAAAAGGTACATATCTCTAAATGGGAACTGTTTTTGAAGAAGACTGTAGGAGAATTTAATACTTAAAGAAATGGGTGAAAAAAATTGTGGTGAAAATTAAGTTCTTGTTTGATTGTAAATCTGTTTTAATAAATGTGATTGCTTAAACTAAGATATAATTTAAAATGGTGATTTTCTTGATGTGAAGATTGTTGGTGATTCCTCTCTGAACTTTTACAGGAATCCATGGGAAAGAGCTATGATGGGAGAGCTTATGTTATCACTGGCATGTGGAACCCCAATGCACCAATATTTCTGGCACTTAATGAAGAAACTCCAAAAGGTTACTTTTATAAAAAAGATTCTTTACTTGCTTTAAATTTTATATGACAGTGTTATTTTTTCATGTTTTAAAATTTTCTAGTATTTATTAAAAGTGGAGATATTTAGAATTTGAGGCTTCTTTTCATACTTTATACTTCTATGGGGGAAACTCACAGTATTCAAAAGAATTCTCCAAATATGAATTGATTTGATTAGATTATATAGAAATGTTTAGACTTTGTGGGGACCAGCAGTTAGTGTAATGGCTATGTCACTGGACTCCCAAGTAGTCGACCACGGTTAGAGTCCCGTACCCGGTGGCTTAAACTCACATCGGGCACATGTGCGTGTGTGCCCAAGATCCCAAGAGCAGAATAGAGGAGAAGGGATTGCGGCCTGGCCATCCCCCCTAAGGGGTGATTTCTCGCTTTCTGTCTCTCTCTCTGTCTCTGTCTTTCTGGCGAGTGCACACGCCCTATAGCAAAAACCTCTCCAAAAAATAAAAATAAAAGAAACATTTAGACTGTGTTTACATGTGATCACTATAGAGGAGCTTTCTTTTTCTTTTTTCTTTTTTTGGAGAGGTTTTCGCTATAGGGCGCGTGCGCTTGCCAGACAGACAGAGAGAGACATAGAGACAGAAAGCGAGAAATCACCCCCCCAGGGGGGATGGTCACGCCGCAGTCCCTTCTCCTCCATTCTCCTCTCGGGATCTTGGGCATGCATGCACATGTGCCCGGTGTGAGTTTTAAGCCATCAGGTCCGGGACGTGAACCGCAGTCGACTACATGGGAGTCCAGCGACATAGCCATTACGCTAACTGCTGGTTCCCTAGAGGAGTTTTCTTTAAAGAGATGTGTGATACAGGAACATGAAAAATGATGAAAACAATAAATTCTGAAATCTTGTATATTATTTTAACTTATTTTTACATGAATTACTTATTTTTTAATTATTGGTTTTGGTCTTGACCTTTGGGATCCTGGTAATATGATTTAAGGATTTCGTTGTGGCAAACATTTTTTTTCCTAGTTTGCTACTTTTTTGTTGTATTTAACATGTCTACTATTGGAGAGAATTTATAAATGTTAAACAGTCACATTTGTCATTTTTCCCACATATGTCTTTACTCCTACTTTATCCATGTATCTATTAATTGCCAATTTTTTTGGTCCCACATCCTCTACCTTTAAACTAAATTTAAAGTTTTATCTTATGAATAAAATGCCTTACCCTAAATGCCTTACTGCCATTCAACTGATAATTTATATTTTGAACATAATGGATCAGTTTATTTATTTTTAGTATTTTATTATTTATTTTACACCCACAGTAGACTTTAAGTTTAGGACAGGAAGCATCAGTGAATTCTGATGTGGGAATAGTATGTTAATGGGCATTGATTATAACAAAAATTAGTGTACTGATTTTGATATATAATTATAAGAAAATATTTAAATATCTGACACATAGATAATAGAAAAGTATTAACTTTAAAGGTACTAAATACTACAAAGTAAATTAATATTTTAAGATAATTTAATTTTCTTAAGAAAGGGTAATTACCAGTTCTATAAATTGTGTGTATTTGATCACATATTAAGATGTCTAAAAATCCTCATTTTAGACTAAAAAGAGAAAAAATAATGATTATGTAAAATTTCGCTTTCCATATATTAGGAATAAAAGACAGGCTTATAAATATCAGCCCATAACCTTTTTTCTTGTAATCATTAAGAGAGAAAACACAAAAATGAAGAAAATAGGCCACTTGATGATTTTTTAAGAGTAAAACAGGAATTTCAAATATCAAGTTATAGGAGTTTTTATATTTTTACATAACATACTGTTCAATTTCATTTTGCATTGTAGTACAGGAAACAAAGATAATTTGTTTTAAATTTATTCTATGAAAATGAACTTTATATAATACTATTATATAAATATTCTGATTCAAGATATAATGGGTTTTAAGTTTAAAAATGTTTTATATACTAATTACAAATTGCTCTGTTTTCTAAAATTTCCAAATGGTGTCCTTGAAATTCTGTATTACTTGGAGAATTCATAAATCAAATAAAATTAGATTTTTAGGATGTTAGGCTCTGAGAGATAAAATATCTTAGATCTTTGCATGGCATTAAGATCCAGTTGAGTTTTATTTTTCTCTTATGCTGCCACAGTGCTCCTCTTAGACTTTAAGGTTGTTTTCTGTGTTACTTTTCTCTTATGCTGCCACAGTGCTCCTCTTAGACTTTAAGGTTGTCTAGGTCAAGCACAATGTCTAGAAAATTATAATTTTTCTTGAATTGACAGGTGTAATACCTGGATTTAGTGAGAATATATCGCTAATAATGAATTTGATATTAATATTGGGTTAATATATGATATTAATATTGGGTTAATATTTGTTTAATTTGATATTAATATTGGGTCATCAGAAGAGTCATGATGCATTTTTGCATTGAAAAATACATCATAACTCTTCCAATGTCCCAGTAGAAGTATAGTTGAGGAGTATAAATGTTCTATAATTAAAAAAAAATGCTATTGAAATGTTCCTTTTAATGGTGGGCATGGTTATTTGGACTAGAACTAAACATTATGGACAAAATAAATTTTTAAAATAGTTATAAAGCGATGAAGGGGGTGCCATCAGGTGGTGTGGTGGTTAAGGCGCTGGACTCACATATGGGCTACCTCAGTTTTAGTTCCACACCTGGTGACTTGTGTTCTCATTCCACCCATCTCTCTGTCTCTCTCTGGTGAGCACACATGCCCTATAACAAATTAAAAAAAAAATAATACTTTAAAAAAAAAAAAGGGCATGAGGAATTTACAAAATGGTATGGAATGACCAAGTCATAGATTTAAAAACCCAATTGACTATCAAGCAGGATAAATAAAACTGAAATCCATCATATTTCTTTATTTAAAAAAAATTTAAAGAATTATTTTAACTTTATTTATTTATTTATTTATTTTAATTTGACTAGAGAGGGACAGAGTGAGTGAGTGAGAGAGAGAGAGAGAGAGAGAGAGAGAGAGAGAGAGAGAAAGCAAGACTCTTTTTTAAAGAGTGAGAAAGCAAGCCTCCAGGTTCAGGACTTGAACCACAGTCAACCACGTGAGATTCCAGTGCCCTTAACCACCACACCAGCTGCCGGTTCCCTACTTTTTAAAAAAAATTTAAAATTTTTGTGAGACCATGCATGTGCTTACTGGAGAGAGGTGGTATTTAGGGGAGAGGAGGCAGGACGTGAGAAAGTACCTCCCATGGGGAATGGTCACGCCATAGTGCCTTTACCTTCATTTCTCCCTCCTTTTTGGATTTTGGGTGTGCATGCTCATGTACCCAGTGTGTTTCTCATGCTGCCAGATCTGGGATTCAAACTTTGTAGTAAGCCATATGGGGATGCAGCTTCCTTAACCACCATGCCACAGGATGTCCCCAAATCCATATTCAGTCCATCATAGTGATACCAAAGAAACCAATTGATGCTGGCCCAGAAGATTCTATATTCAAACTAAATTTAGTCTTTGACTAAGTACATTTTTTTTGAGAGGTTTATGCTATAGGGCGTGTGCACCTGCCAAAAAGACAGAGAGAGACAGAGAGACAGAGAGCGAGAAATTACCCCCCCCAGGGGGGATGGCCATGCCGCAAACCCTTCTTCTCCATTCTCCTCTCGGGATCTTGGGCACGCACGCACACGTGCCCGGTGTGAGTTTAAGCCACTGGGTTTGGGACTCAAAACAAAGTCAACTACTTGGGAGTCCAGCGACATAGCCATTACACTAACTGCTGGCCCCATTGATTAAGTAAATATTTTAAACAAGAGCTAAAATTTTGACTTACAGCATTATACTGATGTTATCTGAAAGCACTTGCCAGGACTCTGCCTATATACATATATACATATACGTGTGTTTGTGTGTGTGTGTGTGTGTGTATTGGGTTGTCAGAAAAGTCATGACATATTTTTTCTATGCAAAAATGCATCATGACTTTTCTGACAACCCAGTATATAAATTAGGTATACATTATATTTTATATATGTATACATTTATACATATGTTGTACATAGTATATGTAATATGTGTGTGTGTGTGTGTGTGTGTGTGTGTATGAAAACTGCACAGAACTATCTTATTGGAGCTTTGATTAATGATTCTCATGATAGTAAATAATATTATAAACAGTGAGGATACTGACAAATCTCCAGGGACTTTCTTTAAAACATAAAACATGGAAATTTTTACAGAAAGCTAAATATCTCTGCTGCTAATGACAGTTTTTCCCATGTAGCTCATCAAATAAGCCTACTAATTTGTAGTATCTCTTTTTATAAAATGAAGGACACAATTCTGTGATTTTCTTTTCAGAGGTTTTTGGGAAATCTGATAGTTTTATAGTAAATGGTATCTAGGAAATTTTATTTTATTTTTATATTAAGGACTGATTTGGGAAACAAAAAGAGAAAATTGTCAACATACTTGAATATTCAATTAAGAAATTCATTAGTATCTGGGAAAGGTACTTATAATGCATGGTTACGTATTTGGTCAAAGTGGTACTAAAACTAAAAGTAAGTAGAGAAAGTAATATAATTGTAAGGAACCTTAATGCTTTAATAAGTGAGAAACATTTTTTTAAAAAATAATCAAGGAATAGTAAAGCCAGAATAAATCTCAGAAAATTTCTTCTACAGATAAACGAGTGTACATGACTGTGGCAGTGGATATGGTAGTGACAGAGGTGGTGGAGCCTGTCCGCTTTCTTCTGGAGACGGTAGTTCGTGTGTATCCTGCAAATGAACGGTTTTGGTATTTTAGCAGAAAGACTTTCACAGAGACTTTCTTCATGAGATTGAAACAGGTAGGACTTTTTTGTTCTCTTTATATATAGTAACATGTATTTTTCTTTCTACCTTTCTTTTTATGGCAAGGTAATTACTTAAGTAGCAATAAAACTTTTGAGGAGTGATATTCGAAGTCAACCAATAGGGTGTTTGAAAAATTGACATCCAGGTAATATGAGTCAAGAATAATCCAATTAGTGTAATAATTGTGTACTTTCCCCCTAGAAATCTGTATGTATACTTGTAAAGTATGAACATATTTTTTTCTAACAGTTTTAAAAAATGTATTCATGATAGAGTGCATGTGCATACATGTGAAAGAATGAAAGAGGGGAGAAGCACCCTCCACAGGGTCTGCTTACACCATGATTCCCATTTTAGGCCTCTACCTATAGGATCTTGGTCACTTGCACACATGCTCAGCATGTTTCAAGACAGTTGGGCTGGGGTTTTGCATTGGAATGCCTTGTGGAATCCAGCTCTCTTGACCAGCACATTACATTATCACTGCACCACACAGCTGATCCTGAAAATACTTAATGAAAATATTGATTCTGTACATAAGACAACTTTTCTGCCCTTATCTATAATTATTTAAAACTAAAATGATAGAGCACAGAAATATTATAAGCTTATTAAGTTATAATGAAAATATTTCCAAGAAATACCTAATTGCCATAGTTAATTCTGCATGTGATATTAAATACCTGGCATCATACGAACATCTTGTTTGGGTTCATCATTAGGTTGCAAAATTATTTTAATAGTAAATAAAAAAATTAGGGTTTCTGTGGAATCCTTAAATTTGGCAATATTAGGTAAATTACATAATTTTTGCTTTGTAGAGAAGGAAGTTTACAGTGAAAAGTAATTTGGATTGAGATTTCTCTCTTTCCC